CCCGGGGGCCGGGAGCAGAGCGCCCAAGGGAGCAGCCAGCCTCTTAAAGCGGCATGGGGCTGCTCCAGTGTGGCTGACTGCTCAGGGCCTGAGGATCCGGGAGGAGGGTTGGCCCGTGGGCCGTATCTCGCCTATCCCGCCTTAGTGAGTGCCCACTGCCAGCTGTTTGTTCCGTCCACGCGGCGCCAACCTGGTGGCAGGGGATCCGTGTGTCCCTCCTCCCCCGCTTTCATGTTTCTGATTCCCCCCCAAATCTATCAGCCCAGAACGTGGCCTTTTGCTGTAACGCCGGCCGGGCCTTCCCCTGCCCTGAGCTCTGTGTGGCTCCGAAGATCAGCTCGCTCTCCAGGAGACGCTGGCCCAGTACGAGAGCGTCTCCCCCTCTGGGTTCTGCCGGCTGCCAGGGACCAACTGGGAGGCCTCTGCCCCCAGGCAAAGGGATGTGGGGAAACTGGTCCTGCCTCCCCAGTTCCTGATGGTAGGATCTCACTTGCACTGGCATTGTTACCTCCCGGGGGTGTCAGACTGCCCTGGCCTGGGGTCCCACAGCTCCTCTGCGCTGGCCAGCAGCGCCCTTTCCCGGGGTTTGTTTGTTCCCAGGGCGAGACTACTGGCCAGGGGCGGCTCCAGGCCTCGGAGAGACCAAGGGCAGGACGAGAAGCCAAGGCACAAACAGAGGAAGTGACAGGCCAGAAGCCTCTCTCAGCAGGTTAGTAGCAGGGGTGGGAACAGCCCCTGTGTCACCTGATTGCATTGCCCTGACTGCGGGGAGCTGCCTTTGGGTGTGTGCGTGTGCGTGTGCGTGTGTGTGTGCGTGTGCGTGTGCGTGTGCGTGTGCGTGTGCGTGCGTGTGCGTGTGCGTGTGCGTGTGCGTGCGTGTGCGTGTGCGTGTGCGTGTGCGTGCGTGTGCGTGTGCGTGTGCGTGTGCGTGCGTGTGCGTGTGCGTGTGCGTGTGCGTGCGTGTGCGTGTGCGTGTGCGTGTGCGTGCGTGTGCGTGTGCGTGTGCGTGTGCGTGCGTGTGCGTGTGCGTGTGCGTGTGCGTGCGTGTGCGTGTGCGTGTGCGTGTGCGTGCGTGTGCGTGTGCGTGTGCGTGTGCGTGCGTGTGCGTGTGCGTGTGCGTGTGCGTGCGTGTGCGTGTGCGTGTGCGTGTGCGTGCGTGTGCGTGTGCGTGTGCGTGTGCGTGCGTGTGCGTGTGCGTGTGCGTGTGCGTGCGTGTGCGTGTGCGTGTGCGTGTGCGTGCGTGTGCGTGTGCGTGTGCGTGTGCGTGCGTGTGCGTGTGCGTGTGCGTGTGCGTGCGTGTGCGTGTGCGTGTGCGTGTGCGTGCGTGTGCGTGTGCGTGTGCGTGTGCGTGCGTGTGCGTGTGCGTGTGCGTGTGCGTGCGTGTGCGTGTGCGTGTGCGTGTGCGTGCGTGTGCGTGTGCGTGTGCGTGTGCGTGCGTGTGCGTGTGCGTGTGCGTGTGCGTGCGTGTGCGTGTGCGTGTGCGTGTGCGTGCGTGTGCGTGTGCGTGTGCGTGTGCGTGCGTGTGCGTGTGCGTGTGCGTGTGCGTGCGTGTGCGTGTGCGTGTGTGTGCACGTGTACGTGTGTGAACGTGGGGGGCGGGGTCCTGGCTCCTAGTTGCAGCTGGACTCCCCAAAGCAGGTGCTGCGCGTTGGGGAGGGATCGCTGGAGGGGAACCCCCCAAGGACGCCAGTGCCTGTTTTCCCTTCTGCAACTCTGGCTTTTGCAGCAGGCCCGGGGCACGGGC